CCTTATCTCGAAAGAAGCTATCTGGATGAGCATTGCCCTGCTGCTTGCAAGTCGCCTGCATTGGGTCAGTACGAGACTCCGAGAGGGGGAGGTTTAAAGAAGGAAACGTCAACTAGAGTTCTCGCTCGGGACCTTCAGCTAGCAGTGTGTCTTGATCATGCCGAACGCAGTTGTCTGCCCGGCGCGAGCCACCAAGAACATCAAGACAAAAATCTTCCAGTCCGAGGAGCACCCGGTTTTTGGTTGCGGAGGTTTTGATTCGGAGATGTTCATGGGGATGATCTTGATCTCATGATGTGCTAATTCTTCCCACGAAGAGAGTCACAATACCAACCGATTATCACCCAGAACTTGAAGTTATGACTGCATATATCGTCATCCCTCCTGATAGAGCAAAATCCGAAAGTTGAAGCTCTCTGCGGCTGGATTACCAGACATAAGATGGACCCACTCTTCCCAGGGAGCCAGCCTCCATAAGATTTGCACCCCTCCAACCTTTTGCCTTTATCGAGCCTTTCAACTCACCGGGTGGGAAGTCACTGTATATAGCTTTCTCTTATTATTTTCAACGGGCAATTCCTTCCACCAACCGCCATGTACTTTGCTAGGGCTTATATTGCGTATGCCTTTGTTCTCTTTGGTAAGTGCCGTTTCCATGAATTTTCTTGGACTTGTGGGCCACTTATCGACTTCACCACATGGATGGTGTTATCCTGTCAATCAAGGATATTAGTCCTGACCTTTTTTCTTCTTCCACTTCTGAAGCTTCCCTACAGCTTACCTTATCCTCTCGGATTTTAAACCCTCGAATGTAAGCCAAATCTTCACCTTCGTACGTAGATTGATGAACCCACGATTAAAAGTCATCTAATTTGATGATTGTTAAAGTGATGAACCCAGTAGCAAACTCGTCGGTAATGCACATATTCCTCGTCGTGTCAACCCCGTCGCTTTGGAAGAGCCCGGAAAGAGGAGCTTGTCGACCAGGTACGACCGATTTCTGAAGAGGACTACTTCGGCACCGCATTCCTTGCATGTCTCTCGGGGTTATACGAAGTTGTCAACTAAGAAATCTTCGGGACCTACAATCCGGGCCAACAAGTGGAACGAGAAGAGAAACGAGTCCTCTGCAGACAGTCATTATGGTAAACACCTTTGAACCCAGTCCTTCGAAATATACAGAAGACCAATGAGTCTGAAGACACTCTGAAAAAAAAAGTCAACTTTAGCGGATTCTAACCCTCTCATAGGGTCAGGAAAAATCACAAATGAACTTTTTGGACTCCCCTTATGTTGTAACTGTCAGATGTCGACAGTGTATGTTCGATTTGATCTCAAGCTGCTGCACACTATCCAAGAAATAAATAAATACCTCCAAATTCTTTTACCCAAAGAAATTAAACATTGAAGTCGAAAGAAAATACATGCGTCAATTCTTCATAGGTTTTTTCCTCTTATCAGTCCTATCAGCGGGTGCGGTGCCCTGGTCTTGTTGAAATACTCGATCCGCTCGAGATTAATGAGTGTGCGGCGGATAGGCCAATTGCCGGTCTGCCGTTGAATTCATGGCCCTGATCCCTAACGAGTGATCGTCTAGAACTTTTGGTAATGGAAAGCTTCACAAGTTTGAACCTTTCGACGGATGAGTGAGCTTCCCTGCAAAAATGGTTCGATCGATGAAAGTCTTCAAAATAATAGTCCTGCCAGTCTCGTTACTTGCTCTCCTCCTCGGTCACTTCTTCTTTGGCGAGACTCAGCTGAAAGATGGCTTGCTCCACCTCCTCCGAAATTTCAATCAGCAGTCCATCAATGGCCACCACCAAGCTGCCTACACGGGATCGCTCATGGGATGGTTAGGGAGTCAGCCAAGTGACTCTTCGAGTTTATTCAAGCAGCACTCCCAGTCTTCGTTGGCTGTTTCACCTCCTCCAATCAAGCTTTCTGCCTCCGATCGACCACCGCAGCTTGGTGGAAGGATCCGCTCGGGCCATCTAATCGCCAAAGCGTATAGGAACGCACTCAAGGATATCGAGCTCACCGTATTCACTCTGGTCAATCGCGATCCCATCTTCAGTACCGCAGAATTCAAGGCTGGTACGCTGGGTGTTCCGGGCACGGGGATCCGAATCAACGACGAACGCCGAGCTCTACAAGCATGGCTGGATTGCACCTCTGGGGAAGGCGAATGGCGATGGCAGCCGACCAACGACGGGCCCGAGCCGCGGACGATGACGGTGCACAAACAAGGCCCACTCGAAGCCAAGTGTGAGAGGGCGTTCTACGAAGGCCACCAACTGGCGGCCAACCGATCGAGATCGCCGGACGACTGGGACGTTCGAGCCTCTCTGAAGTTCAAATGGTATCCTTCGTCGCGTTGCGAGGCCCTCCGGCCTGGGAAGCTCCACAGTAGTCCGCGGCTCACTCGCCGAGCCTTATGTCGCTCGTTGTCTAGAAAGAGCACGCTCATTGTTGGCGATGTCTCCCAATACGCCTTGCACGACCTTCTGTTGGACTGGACAACCACCAAACAAGCTTCTTGTGCTGGGAACTTGTACTGCAAAATCCATCCTATTTGCTCCGACGAATTGGACCCTCGTTGGATTGGTAATTCGAGCCAATTGGAAGCTGGCGAACTCGATGCTCATGTTTACTTTAAAATCCCCCCACAACCTTTCAACCAATGTTTGTCTAAAATCATCTTAACAGTTCATTCATTTCTCCAATCTTCTCTCCGACATATCTCACTGACTGTTTGGGTTTTTTCGACCAGCTTATTTCGTCAGTAATGTCACTCCAATCGACCATCCTAGTTTAGCTCCCCTTAGATCATCAATCCGATATCCCAATGGAAGTCGTACATTCCTACGCTACAGACGTTCAGATTCATTGTGGGGGTCCTCAAGCCCAAGTCATGCTCGATTCCAGCCAATTTGGTTACATCCAAACAATGGGATCCGAGACATTAACAATTGTGAGTGAAGTTTTCAAAACACTTGTATTATACAAACAATGATTAATTGTCCTCCTGGCGTGTGTGTGTGTGTTCGTGAATAGTTTGGTATGGAGATGTGCGCAAGTCAGATCTGATCATCCTTTCCAGACGACCATTAGGGCTACCACGACGCTCCCAGATGAGCCAAGCTTTCATCCATAACAAACACTTACCGTTGAGCCATTTGGAGTATCTTCGCAAGCATTCACGGAGCCAGGTATGGAGGCCGGATGTGAGGTTAGCGGCGGAGGAAGGCTCGGATGGTGTTACGGCTGCAGTCTCGTTGATAAGGATGGCAATCAAGATGGTCATGGAGGTCTGGCTTCCTGAGGTACTTTTGACTCTGAAACAGCTTCAGAAGAGTCATGGGAGGGCAAGCAAGTTGATCGTTTGGCGTGGGGAATGGCGGATTCATGGAGATTGTACCTCAACTAGTCTTCCTCAGAAAGCCAACGATGGATTTGATTGGGATCGGTGGTGGAAGGACCAGCCTTCACGGCCAGGGGATGGCAATCGACCCCATCCAAGCCCACCCGACTTATTCTCGATCCTCTTCCCGAACCACCATCCTCCTACAACAACAACCAGCAGTAGCAGCAGCAATGATCCTCAGACGACTCAGGAGAAGTCGAAGATCGAAGATCTCAAGCTCAAGAATCCTCGACTGGTCTTCCACAACCTTCAGACCATCTTTCAAAACCAGTTGATGAGGAAACTTGGGCCCGAGTTTGGGATCCCATTCCTTGACCTTGAGTCTCAGGCTAGTGTCTGGAGGACCGGTTTGGTGGCTAGTCCTAGTATGGCTTCTCGACCCCATTCCGTTGCTCATTCTGATTGCTTTGATTATTGCTTCCCTTCCCCTGGGCTGACTCTTGAAGAATCTTTCTTGGGTGGACTGTTGAAAATCTTATCCGTCTCTGGTTGGACTAATTCGACTGGAAACAGATAGTCATTATTTAGTCTAATTTGATGGTATTTTTTACAAGGTTGTAAAGGTTTTACTGAAAATTAGATATTAGTGTAACTCAATCCAATGTAAATAAGAAAGAAAACCCGTGATCAAGGTTTAAAATCCTTGAAAAAGCTGATTGATTAATTCAATGAAAGACTTCCTGTTGTACTCTAGTCTAAATTGATTAAGTTGGAAGGACATTCTGAACTTAATTTTCAGGTGAAAATCAATTGTTATCAACTTTCCATCAGCAAAGAACCTCCATCCAATGGATCCATTTAGGTGATGAGACACCAGATAAAATACATGATCACTAGATGAAAGGTGAAAGTACATTCAGCTAACTACTCATGGTCAATGTCTACCACCTTGTGATTTTCTAGAGCCCCCTGCAGAGGACAAAGGAGGCACTGCAGTAGGAGCCCAGCAAGCCCCCCCAGAGGGGGGTGTTCAAAACGGTAGGCTAAAGTGGAAAAAATCCCAAAAAATATATGTCTGAAGAAACTTGAAAAAGTTACAAATTATCATTTTGGGCCAAAAAGGTGCTCTTGAAATTGCACATTTTGTGAGGTATGTGAAACTGGCCAAAACCAGTAAAAGCTGGAATTTGACCCCCAAACCCAGAATTAATTTGGAGAACCCCCTCTTCTTTTAATTGTGGGATATCAACTCAAGCATACTCTTGAAAGTGGTATGAATGTGCCCCAAAAACAGGTATGAATTTTGCCAAGATCCGCCCTATTGGGGAGCTTGCCAGGGTCCTGCTGTACACCATGCGTGGAATTTGGAATTTTGGATCCAGCCCTGGGATGAGATTGTCCCAAGTCTGTCCCTGTAGTTCCCAAAAAAGGAATCAAAAGAGCCTTGTTGTGATTTTAAATGGATGTGCCTGTGGAGCACACCTGGGACATTTTTTCTTGTGCAATGTCCCCAGAACACCAAAGACTCAAAGTGTACCTGTGGTGAAGTCCATTGGGAGTAAAGAAGGAGAAGAAACAGATCCATATCCATTTTTCCTCACTGCCACATGTAGTCAAGTGATCATTCATTTCTCCCAGTGAGAAGTCCTCCAGCTATGTAGCTGTGAATATTGTCAATGGTGCTGGCTGCTGTGTAGGTGTGTATTTAGCATAGTAATGAGGCTTTTTGTCTTAACTCATGTAGATGGGGTGATAGAGGATTCCTTGAATGAATCTACATATTCAGTGTAAAATTGGAACACTCCAAATCTTAAAGAGTAGTTACAATACCAAGTTCTCCATGGTAGTGGGGTGGTTGCAGGATTGAGGAGTAGTACTCTAGATCGGGGGTTTCCTGAAGCTGTGATTGGCTCTGTGACAGGTAAGCCCTACAACCCCAGTCAAACGGTCAACAAGCCAACAGTCAACAAGAACAGTCAACAACAACAACCAACAACTGGAAGAATGGATATCGAAGAACGAGAATCAAAGGAAAGAGAACAAGAACGAGAAAGAGAAAGAGAAAGAGATCCATTCAGGAACTTCGACGAATCAAGATCATCATCAACCATCACTCAACTCAACCTAGAACAACAATCAACACTACTAGAACAATCTCAATCAATCCTATCAATACTCACCAGACCAACTACTACCACCAACAACAACCACTCAGACTCATTCAATCAATCAGCATCATCATCACAAAACTCACAATCAAATCATCCACTCCATCAGATTCAGGATGGAGGACCACCTCAGAGTATCATGATCGATATCGACTATCAACAACAATCAAATTCAAAATCAAAATCAACAGCCCAAAACCAGCAAACAACCGATGATCAAGGCTACCAAACCGAGAACTCATCATCACCAACACCATCACTCACCAGGCATCAAGAACAAGAACAAGAACAATCAGACCAACCTCATCAATCCATCCTACATGACCATCGACCACCTAGCTCACTACTACTACCACCCAACCATCATCATCATCAATACCCTAGGAGTAACCTAGAAGAAGAAGAAGAATCAAACAACCAAGCAACACCCTTCCGATCTGGACTACTCTCCAGGCTCAAACAGATCTGGAATCAAGAACGTGATCAATACTTCTCAAACCAACAACATCGAACCAGTCACCAACTCAACTCATTCTCTCATCACAATCAATCTGCCAGCGATCGAGAACAGCAAGGACAACATGATAATAACCTACAACAGGCTCATCAAACACTCGGAGCAAAGGAGATGGCACTCTGGAGATGGGTCAACGTCGATGATCTCGACTCATCCTCCAGGACGTCTATAGCTATTACGTTGGAAATGGGATCTGGGCTATCGGATTATCCAGACTATCTAACCTAATGTGCCCCATCCTTCACTTCTGTATTGATTACTCTCATGAAACTCCAGTTTCTTATAACCCTTGGTTTGCTTTAGGACAGTCGGGTTCGTCATCGGTTTCTCCATCTTCCTCTTCGGATGTATCGACTACTCCATCTTGAGATCTAGTCACCACTTACACGAAGTCATCGTCCCACAATGCGTCTCAAGGTCTGTTTTCTGATATGCTTCTCTGCCTGATTTATGTTTGTACTCAATTTCTTGCTTTTTTTACACAAATAGATTCTCAGGTCTTAGTTTGCTCTTGGTATTGGCCTTCTCTGGCTACTATTCTTGGAGAGTCTTGAAGTTCGGTCAAGAGATTTCAAACCTTTGGAAGATGCATGAATTCTTTACTGAACTGTTAGAGGTTTCAGAGGTACACTTCTTTTTTTTCATCATATATATATATACAAATACAGCTAAACTTAACAATCCAAACAATACAGGCAGATATACAAACGATTCCGTGGTACCGCCTAGTTGAACAATTGTCCCGTTTGAAAGATCAGCATCCAGCTACGATAGCTACAGGAGAGAGTGAAGGACGACGACGAGCGATGGGAACACCTCACATGCAATCTGTCTTACAGAGGAAGCTGGATGCACACGACGTAGCCAATCAGATCATGCGAGAACAAAACTATCTGATCGCGTTGTTCAACAAGGATATCTTGAACCTCAGGCCGCCCCTACCCAATTGGATGGTCGGCAACTTCCTCATCGCTGAGAAGCATCTCACCACTTCTCTTGAATGGAACCTCCTCTTCTCACTCCGTGGGTTCCTCCTCGATCGTCGCGGTCAGGTCAAGCCCGAGTTTCTTGTCTCCTCCAGATTCGAGCCTTCCATGGCTCTCGGGTTCGTCTTCGAAAACCGAATTTCAAAAATTGATCAATGCTTATTTTTGGCTCCCTTCTTAGTTTACAGAGACGATTCAGATTGATGGCGATTATCAACTTGATCTTTGGGCCATTTATTGTGATCTACGTTCTTATCTATTCATTCTTTCGGTACTTTGAAGTCAGTGGATGGTTTTATAACAACGTTTGAGCTTTAAGAGAACTAAAAGTCTGGCCGTATGTCCGATCATAGGAGTATCACAAGAACCCAGCGTCGATCGGCTCGAGAAGCTTCACCAGATTGGCCCAATGGAAGTTCCGAGAATACAACGAGCTTCCTCATCTGTTTCAGGAAAGACTGGTCAGTAGTTGTTGTCTCTCGAAGCAATATATCGACCAATTCCCGAAGACGAAGACGACGATCCTGGCGAAGTTTGTGAGCTTCATTGCGGGCTCGTTCGCTGGAGTCTTGATCCTGTTATCGCTGTACGACCCAGATGCATTCTTACACTTTGAAATCACGCCGGAGCGGAGTGTGTTATTCTACATCGGTTTGTTTGGCTCGATCCTGGCGATCTCCCGAGGAATGATTAAACAGGAGTACGAGGAGAAGATCGAGCGACCGGGAGATCTGATGGAACGGATCGTCGGCCTAACCCACTATCTACCTTCTCATTGGTATGGCAAACTACATGGACTCGATGTCTATAACGACTTCGGCAGCTCTCAGCTCAGAATCGTCAACTTTCTGAATGAACTCAT